TTATACAATGCTGTGTTTATTGTGATGAATGAAGAGAATAAGACACTTGCATGGCAACTTACAAGAGGTAACTCTACTGATACAGTGCAGTCGCTTCTCACTGGATTATATCAAAGACATCAAAATGCACAACAAGAGATAGAAGGCATTATTATTGACAATTGTTGTACAGTGAAGAACAAAATAAATGCCATATTTGGAAGTAGGGTCTTAATCAAACTTGATTTGTTCCATGCAATAAAAAGAATCTTGGAGAAGATACCGAGAAAGGAAGTGACGTCTGAACTAAGAGAAGTTAGGCAACTCATGATTAAGGACTTAAGATTGTGTTTTCGCGACGAAAAAGATATTGGACAAACAAGGAAGAAACCAAAACCCCCTTCAGACAAGATAGAAAAAAATTTGCAGGACTTTTTAAAGAAATGGTCTTCTGAGCTACTTGATGATATGACATCGAACCAGCGAACCACCGAACCATCGAACCAGCGATCCATCGAACCAACGATCCATCGAACCAACGATCCATCGAACCAACGAACCACTGAACCACCAATCCATCGAACCATCGAACCAACGATCCATCGAACCATCGAACCATCGAACCAACGATCCATCGAACCAACGATCCATCGAACCAACGATCCATCGAACCTAGAACCACTGAACCACCAATCCATTGAACCATCGAACCAGCGATCCATCGAACCACCGAACCTTTAAACCAGAGAGTGACGTCACCAGTGATATAAATATGCAGAACACAGTACGAAGTGACGTCACCGGTGACTTGGTATATAGTGCACCAGCCAGTAAATGAAGAGTAACATCGTAACAGTAACCGCGATGGAACATTTCTGTAATTAAATCATTTGCTGACACTGCAGACGAATCATCACTCATCTCAGACTTTGGCTCATCTGCTTTTTCATTAAGCTCTTTACCACAAGAATAACAAAAGTTGGCGGCTATGGAGAGAACTTGCGCAGGCAGTGGGTACAAAACATCTTTACTCGTACTAGTCATTACTGCATCGCCATTCCCGCCATTATATTAAACAGCTCGTGCCAGTCTCTTCCGATTACTGCGCGCGCAGAAGTTTTTTTTGTTTGCAGCAACTTTTACTTATTTGCAGCAACTTTTATTTGTTTGCAGCAGTATTTAATGTAATGTTTGCTTTTATTTGTCGGAGCTTTTACTAATTTGCAACAACATTTATTTATTTTACGTAATGTTCTATTATTTTTGCGTCAATATATATTTGTTTACATCCACATGTATTTGTTTGCACCAATATACATTTGTTTGCAGCTGTCCCCTGTGGGCCACCGTAAATCTGTTTTCAGGAGCGACTTTGTATTTCCTTCTCGCGTTGCTCTTCGCTGGATACTCGCCTTTTTCCCTATGCCCTTGATTGTTCGCGTTCGCGTTCCTCTCGCCGTATTCTGCCTATTTTGTCGTCCTTTCTAACTTTCTTGCGCTATTTTCTGGACTTGCCTTACGCCGTTTACTTGTTGCTTTCCGTGGTCGCTCTTTCTCTTTATATCCAGCCTATTTTCACTTAGAACCCTCTCTCCTCGAACTTGAAATATAACAATTTCCTCTTTCCTAAGCTTAAACTCTGCCGTTATTGTTGCCTTACGATTTGTTTAAAAATTGCAAAACACCGAGAATTACTTATAAGAGAGAGAGTAAACGGTATCTCTTACATGGAGTATGTAATGACCACGAGGTTGATTTGGTGTGTTTTTAGTCGTCGAATGTTAGAGCGAGTTTAGTTTACAACAGTCAATTGTCGGCCGTGATATTTTCTTACATTGGTGGCAGCGGTCTGGGATTTTGAGTCGACGAAATGGACAAAGACCAAGTGAAAATACCCCAAGGTGCCGAAGGCGGTTTACCGCCAGATTTCCTGCCAGAACATAAGCCAGAGAAACTGATGAAGAGTGAACCGAAGAAAGGGAACAGTGTCCTGCAGCAGTTAGTACAGGCGCTTAAGCAGAGTATGATGATGTCGAGTGAGGTTAGCGAAGCGAGGAGAAATGTACGAGTGCCGCGTGTTTACTCAGTGGGACAGAGCTCTAAAACATGGTTGTCCCAGTTTGTGCAGTATGTCGACCTTGTGCGCATCAAGCCCTCAGATCGTCGAGCGTATTTACTCACAATGTTGGACCAGCCGGCCTTTAAGGCGGTGGGACTTCTCAAGCTTTCAGAGTTCCTGTCATTTGACGATTTTACGGCACAGTTGATATAGAGATTCGATTTGGGTAAGACGAGGGAGGATTACAACTTAAAGCTACACGCGAGGTGTCAGAAACCGAACGAAGATTTCGAGGGATTCACCGACAGCCTGTTGGAATTAGTCGAAAATGCGTACCCAGACACGGCTTATCCATTCAAAGTGGAGTTGGCCAGAGATCAGTTTATTCAAGGAGTGGTAGTGAGTAATGACATACGAGAGAAGTTATTTGTCAGTCAACCGGGATCACTCGTGGACGCAGTTCGCGTGCTTCGCCAGTTAGAAAGCGCGTGTAGAGCATGTCAAGCAATCCGTTAATGTAGTCAGCACCTCACAACCGTTTGTTATTACTTCATGGTACAGACCCCCAAATTCACTCCATGAACTTTTCACGCACATCAACACATTATTAGGCAAATTAGATTCTGAAAACGTAGAACATTTTCTCATGGGGGATCTAAATTGTGACTTGCAATCCAAAGACAATGGAAATGTAAGAGCTCTTCTGAACATAACAGACATTTATGGATTGGAACAACTCATTAACGAACCTACTCGAATTACACCTTCTACAAGTACTTTAATTGATCTGATTTTCACAAATCGGCCAGAGAATGTGTATCGTTCGGGGGTGTCTCATGTCGCCATAAGTGACCACAGTTTAGTTTATGCATATCGAAAAATTTCAATTCCGACTTTCTCCAAGGGAGTTCACTTGATAACATATAGACAGTTTAAGCATTTTAATAGCGCAAATTTTTACGCGGACATTCTAGCTCAACCTTGGGATGAAATAAAGCAATTATATGATCCTAATGATATGTGGAGGAGGTGGAAAGAATTATTCCTGAATGTATGTGAAAAGCACGCACCGACGAAGACCAAACGGACACGAGATTCTAAATCCCCATGGATAACCGCTATTCTGAAAAAGCGGATGAATTTCAGAGACCGCCTCAAAAGAAAGGCTATTAAGACAAAGGATCCAGTTATTTGGGACCAATTTCGAATAGTTAAAAATCAAGTTAACGGGGAAATTAATAGTGCGAAAAAAGCTTATTATGAAAATGCCTTCAACATTTGTTGTGGAGATCAAAGGAAAACATGGAAAACAATCAATGAACTGACCTCACGAAAGTCCACTAAAACTGTTATTAATGAGATGGAATATAATGGGGTAAATTCTAGAGATCAAACGGATATAGCAGAAATGCTAAACTCTTTTTTCACAGAAATTGGGCCAGGCCTTAGTAGAGACGTGTCAGAAGTTGATAAATCCTTCGAAGAATTTCTTATTGAAACTGATAAAAATTTTGTTTTTGAAAAAACAACACCAACACGTGTCTGCACTACTATCAAAGCTTTGCAAGTCAAAGGCAACTGGATTAGATAATATCTCAGCAAAACTTCTAAGGGAATGTCCTGATGTTCTAGCGGAATCTCTTACTCATCTACTCAATCAATCCATAATGACTGGCATCTTTCCCGATGAGTGGAAATCTGCCAGAGTCACTCCATTGTATAAAAATACTAGGAAGCGCTCTGATCCGACTAATTATCGACCAATATCAATAATTCCAGTTGTGGCCAAAGTCTTTGAACGGATAATTTACGATCAGCTTTATCGTTATTTAACTAACAACAACTTTCTCTCGTGCCATCAATCTGGTTTTCGGTCTTTGCATTCCACACTCACAGCACTTATCGATGCTACAGATAGTTGGGCATTGGATATAGACCATGGTCTTGTTAATGCCGTAGTGTTTTTAGACCTCAAAAAGGCATTTGATACAGTAGATCACGATATTTTGCTACGAAAATTGCAATACTATGGGATTTGTTGGACCAGTCATCAATGGTTTGCTTCTTATTTAGATAATCGAACACAGATTTGCCATGTAAATTCTTGTAAGTCAACTCCGAAATATCTAAGATGTGGTGTTCCCCAGGGAACAATTTTGGGAACCCTTCTGTTTTTAATATATATTAATGACTTACCACATTGTCTGACATATTCGGAACCCAGAATGTACGCAGATGATACCAGCCTGACGCTTGCCAGTACTGACTTTGATCATATAAATTATTGCCTTAATTACGACCTGAGTAATGTGTACGAATGGCTGAGTGCTAACAAGCTTACCCTAAATATGACAAAAACTGAGTTTATGCTTATTGCATCAAGGCAGAAGTTATCACAATTTACGGAAAGTCCTTCTCTTACTATAAACGAAATCGCAATAGAACAAGTAACCTCCGCTAAGTCCCTTGGAGTTTATGTCGATCAAAATATCAACTGGGAGTGTCATATTGAAAACATCTCTAAGAAGATAGCTTGTGCCATTGGTGCAATTAAACGAATTCGGCACCTAACTCCATTTAATGTTCTAATTAAAGTTTATAATAGCCTTGTTCAACCACATTTTGATTATTGTAACGTAGTGTGGGGAAACTGTAACAAGGGCCTTTCTGAAAAACTGCAAAGGCTTCAAAGTCGGGCAGCTCGCATCCTAATGTCTGCAAGCTATGATAGTAATTTAGATGATTTGTTCCGGGCACCAGGGTGGCGAAGACTCTACTATCAAAGATTGGAACAAAAATCTATCTTAATGTATAAAACTTTACATGGTATGACACCAGATTATCTGAGATCAAGATTTGTATATCGTGACAATATAAGTGCTTATCGTTTAAGGAATACGGAAAACAAATTAGTTCGTCCACAACCTCGAACTGATTATCTTAAGAGAAGTTTTTTGTACAGCGGAGCTCACTTGTGGAACGACTTACCCTTAGACCTAAGAGAAGCGTCTTCACTGACCGATTTCAAATCTAAATTAAGTCGCCACAGTTTAAAGTAATATCTTAATTTTAAGTAAATTTTAGACACGGCCTCCATGAAAAGCAGATTTTTTATTTGTTTCTTTTATTTGAATTGTTATTATTAGATTTTATTATAGTTAGGAAGATAGATATACCTTTATAGATAATTAACAACTGATGGAAATACCGTGTATAAATAAAGTCATCCTATCCTATCCTATCCTATCCTATCCTATCCTATCCTATCCTATCCTATCCTATCCTATCCTATCCTATCCTATCCTATCCTATCCTATCCTATCCTATCCTATCCTATCCTATCCTATCCTATCCTATCCTATCCTATCCCATCCCATCCCATCCCATCCCATCCCATCCTATCCCATCCTATCCCATCCCATCCCATCCCATCCCATCCCATCCTATCCCATCCCATCCCATCCCATCCCATCCCATCCCATCCCATCCTATCCCATCCCATCCCATCCCATCCCATCCCATCCCATCCCATCCCATCCCATCCCATCCCATCCCATCCCATCCCATCCCATCCCATCCCATCCCATCCCATCCCATCCCATCCCATCCCATCCCATCCCATCCCATCCTATCCCATCCCATCCCATCCCATCCCATCCCATCCCATCCCATCCCATCCCATCCCATCCCATCCCATCCCATCCCATCCCATCCCATCCCATCCCATCCCATCCCATCCCCATCCCATCCCATCCCATCCCATCCCATCCCATCCCATCCCATCCCATCCCATCCCATCCCATCCCATCCCATCCCATCCCATCCCATCCCATCCCATCCCCTATCCCATCCCATCCCATCCCATCCCATCCCATCCCATCCCATCCCATCCCATCCCATCCCATCCCATCCCATCCCATCCCCCATCCCATCCCATCCCATCCCATCCCATCCCATCCCATCCCATCCCATCCCATCCCATCCCATCCCATCCCATCCCATCCCATCCCATCCCATCCCATCCCATCCCATCCCATCCCATCCCATCCCATCCCATCCCATCCCATCCCATCCCATCCCATCCCATCCCATCCCATCCCATCCCATCCCCCATCCCATCCCATCCCATCCCATCCCATCCCATCCCATCCCATCCCATCCCATCCCATCCCATCCCATCCCATCCCATCCCATCCCATCCCATCCCATCCCATCCCATCCCATCCCATCCCATCCCATCCCATCCCATCCCATCCCATCCCATCCCATCCCATCCCCCATCCCATCCCATCCCATCCCATCCCATCCCATCCCATCCCATCCCATCCCATCCCATCCCATCCCATCCCCCATCCCATCCCATCCCATCCCATCCCATCCCATCCCATCCTATCCCATCCCATCCCATCCCCCATCCCATCCCATCCCATCCCATCCCATCCCATCCCATCCCATCCCATCCCATCCCATCCCATCCCATCCCATCCCATCCCATCCCATCCCATCCCATCCCATCCCATCCCATCCCATCCCATCCCCCATCCCATCCCATCCCATCCCATCCCATCCCATCCCATCCCATCCCATCCCATCCCATCCCATCCCATCCCATCCCATCCCATCCCCTATCCCATCCCATCCCATCCCATCCCATCCTATCCTATCCTATCCTATCCTATCCTATCCTATCCTATCCTATCCTATCCTATCCTATCCTATCCTATCCTATCCTATCCTATCCTATCCTATCCTATCCTATCCTATCCTATCCTATCCTATCCTATCCTATCCTATCCTATCCTATCCTATCCTATCCTATCCTATCCTATCCTATCCTATCCTATCCTATCCTATCCTATCCTATCCTATCCTATCCTATCCTATCCTATCCTATCCCACCTCGGCTGGAAACGAGAGGATTTCGACAGAGATACGCGAGCTTAAGGAACTTGTTCTGGGCATGAACGAAAAAATTAAGGAACTGAAAAGAAAAAACGAGACAAGGGCAACAACAACTCCGAGGCGCCGTGATGGCGTGGTGTGCTATTCTTGCCACAGGCAAGGTCACTTTACGCGGGAATGTCCAACTAAAGTACCGGGAAACGTAAGACAGGGCCTACGGAGGGCCAACCAGTCCCCGTAGGACAAGGTCAGGTAGGCGCAGTAGAAACTGATTTTATTATGGAGAATTTTGGTGTGTCTAGAAATAAAGGTGTGCTCTCCGTCTTATCAGAGTCTGGGATTTATGTTTCGGGACTTGTGAATCATCGTTTGATGTGTATACTGTTGGACACTGGTGCTGCTGTCAGTGTGTTGGGTGAGAGTGCATGGAAAAAAAGTGGAACTGTTTTATAACCGGGGCCACTGAATTGCTGGAATACTTACTACAGCCGATGGCAATGAGCTGACTGTTCTGGGAGAAACTGAAGTGCGAATTCGCATGGGAAAGATTGAATGCTCCT